TTCATAAGAATAACTTATTTGTGGAACAGACACCCACGTAGATACTTCCCTGAACACTACAACCTTAACTTCTTCAAATCTAGGGCCATTTGTTATCTATCCTACACATGATTATAATCCTATTTACGTCTATATCTCTGAGATGAGGTATTATGATTGCTTGCATTATTTACATTATTCCGATTGTTATTCATTATTGCCATATTCAACGTTTTCGGCCATATTCACAACGTACATTACGATTGTTATTCTTATCTTCATCGCCATATTCACAACGTTGTACGCTACGGCCTCCTTCAGTTGATTAGAATTTTGAACCGAACCCGTTATTTCGTCCATCAGAGTAGATTGTTCTAGTTCCACGTGTCATGCCTCTTGCAGATGTCTCAGTTACTTCCCTTTAACTCAACTCTCCAAGTTTTTGGTTAACCACTGCTGTAGCTTAGTTTTGAACTCACAAACGGGAACACAATCATGAAGTAGGTGTGAGTTACTCCACTTGGCTTTACCAAAAACGCCTATTAGGGGGCGCTTGTTAGGTCTATAATTTTCCTTTTCTTCTCTTGCTTTCAGATGTAGTCGAACGTAGATAAAGAACACTGCTGCTTGAGCGTGTTCGCTTCTTGAGCCCTCTGTTGACTTTTGAACACACTCACAAACGCACATACACACTAGTATATCACACACGCTTGTTTTACACAAACTCACAAACACACACACAGCAAGAACTAACTTATAGTTAGTTTTATAGTCGTTTCCTTTCATTTCAACTGTGAACACATTAAATTGCTTTTGCATACAATGCGTGTATACAATACCGTTTGATTTAAATTCATTGTTTTGTATTACTTATTTTACCGGGATTCACATGAGTCCGCCAGTATTGTCTGTGGAACAAATGTTTCGGAAACATTAAACATTTGCTATAAAACGTCCAGACATGTCGTAAGCAATGAGGTCATTCCCGCAAAATAATGGTGACTTATTTTTACCCGAACATCATATGAATCTTGCAACATAATTCTAACTGACCGACTCCTGGATATAAAAATACACAACTATAAACAGACGCAACTATGCATCATTTAAACACTTTTCAAAACCGAGAGTGTCAGTGAAAAAAAATTCGATCAACAAAGCCCCGTGCAACAATCTTTCCCTCTACCGTACCATGTTAACACAATAAAAAAAAATGTGACAACAAATTTGTGATTAAACCCGACGTAAAGAGCAAAATCGCAAATTCGAGAATGCCTAGGCACGTCTATACGCCAAAACAACTGGCATGAGTGATGGAACATCGAATCAACAAAATTTTTGCATAGGTGCGAAAATTCAATCAAATGAGGAAATGAAGGAAAGAGACGCCCCACAAAAAAAACTAAGAAAAACAATAAAGAAAAATGCAAAAAAGAAAAAAAAAGAAAAGAAAAGGACATCAAGAAAAAGAAAAGGAAGAAAGAAGAAGGGGAAAAATTAAAAAAAGGGAAAAGAAGAAAAGGACATCAAAAAAGAAAAAGGAAGAAAAAAGAAGGGGAAAAATTAAAAAAGGAAAAGAAGAAAAGGACATCAAGAAAAAAGAAAAGGAAGAAAGAAGAAGGGGGAAAAATTAAAAAGGGAAAAGAAGAAAAGGACACCCAAGGAAAAGAAAAAAGGAAGAAAGAAGAAGGGGGAAAATTAAAAAAGGAAAAGAAGAAAAGGACATCAAGAAAAAAAAAAAAGGAAGAAAGAAGAAGGGGAAAAATTAAAAAGGAAAAGAAGAAAAAGGACACCAAGAAAAGAAAAAAAGAAAGAAAAGGAAAAATTAAAAAAAAAAAAGAAAAGGACATCAAGAAAGAAAAAGGGAAAGAAGAAAAAAAAAAAAAGGAAAAGAAGAAAAGGACATCAAGAAAAGAAAAAGGAAGAAAGAAGAAGGGAAAAATTAAAAAAGGAAAAGAAGAAAAGGACACCAAGAAAAAAAAAAAGGAAGAAAGAAGAAGGGAAAAATTAAAAAAGGAAAAGAAAAAAGGACATCAAGAAAAAAAAAAAGGAAGAAAGAAGAAGGGAAAAATTAAAAAGGAAAAAAGAAAAGGACATCAAAGAAAAGAAAAAAAGAAAAAAAAAGGGGAAAAATTAAAAAGGGAAAAGAAAGAAAACATCAAGAAAAAGAAAAAGGAAGAAAGAAGAAGGGGAAAAATTAAAAAAGGGAAAAGAAGAAAAGGACATCAAGAAAAAGAAAAAGGAAGAAAGAAGAAGGGGAAAAATTAAAAAAGGGAAAAGAAGAAAAGGACATCAAGAAAAAGAAAAAGGAAGAAAGAAGAAGGGGAAATGAAAGAAAGGAAAAAGTATAAAAAAAAACATCAAGAAAAAGGAAGAATAATGAAGAGGAAAATGAAAAAAATGAAGAGAAGACATCAAGAAAAAGAAAACAGAACGATAAAGAGGGGGGAAATGAAAGAAAGGAAAACTACAAAAAGGTTAATGAAAGAATAAATATTCATCAAAGTGAAAAATAAATAAAACAAGGAATAAAAAGAAAGAATGAAAAGAAATTGAAGGGATAAAGGAAAGGAAGAATAAAAGAAAAAAGGGAAAAGAACAAAAAGTGAAAGAAGGAAAGAAGAAAAATAATGACAAAGAAGAAAAGAAAAAGTTAGAACGGAATAGGAAAACAAAGAAAAAATTAAAAAGGAAAAGGAAAGAAAGAATAAGATAAAATAAAAATATGAGCAAATGAAGCAAAAATACAAAGTGGGAATAAAATAAAGAAAAAAACGAAACTTAAAAAGAAAGAGACAGACCGTTAAACTAGTAACATTCAGAAATACAGTTTAATGAACGAACAGATTTTTAACTAAATGAGAGAAAGTATTAAAGGGAGATAAATCTGATCGAACGAAAACGAAAACAACTCAGTAGAGGAAGAAAGATCGAAAATGAAAAAAAAAAGATCAAGAAAGAAAGAAGAAAATGATAGAAAATGTGTAGAGGAACATGAAGGAAAAATGGAAGCCAGGAAGAAGTATAGAAAAAAATAAAAATAAAAATGAAAGCATAGATGTATTTTTAGTAGCATATGTGACTGACTGACCTTTTCTGAAAATGGTCGCACTGAATAGAAACCATATTTATTTTTTAAAAATATTCGTGTGTTATTGTTAAAATTCGAAGAAAAAAGTTATACGAATGCTAACAAATTATATTTCGCTAAAATACAGACAAAACGCGTCTGAATGACTTGATTAAAAGTATTAAATTTCAAATTAAATTTTTAATATTAACATAATGGTGTTTTTAATTGTAGAATTGATGAACTATTCTTCCTGTAAATTTAATGAACACATTGTTTTAAAGTAAAATTAATAAACACAATCCGAGTTCAATTTAGCGAATATGTTGATTTTAAAGCAAACTAAGGCAGACTACTGAAAAGTACACAGCCTAACTAAAAATTTATCCCCTCCAAGTCGTAATATTTTGGTTTTCAAAAGTATAAATATTAAGAACTTGAGTCATGTTTTTAAATAGCCTCGTCAGATATAGTTTCTCATGCGGATGTCATGCATGGCATCAGAACGCGTTCACAAATATCGAAACTACAAGCTACATACAAACGTTTTCTCAGATCAAAAAATATCTTCAACTGAACAAATCCTGTAGGTCTTAAAGAAAACAATATATGTCGTCGTTACTCAACTACAACCCAATTTCCCACAGATGAAACGTCGCAACTTTCTCGCTGTTCTATCGCTAATTCCATGGAAAGTGTTCAGACGAATACCATTCTTTAGTTCCACCAGTTCTTATCTTCAGGTCTAAGACCCGTCATGCCGGTCACATTATAGCGAACTACTCTCACCCCCTTCGTATTCCATTTATGGGTTCCACTCGAGCTTCTTCTACTCGCGAACGTTTGTTTTGTGGAGCCGATTCCCAATAGGACGCTTCCTTAGTTACTACAATTTTAATCTGTTCAAGTCTAGGGTGAAACGTTATCATTCCCACATATCTGCATAGAATATGCCTTTTATTTTGTAACCCTCTATTTCGAGGGGCTCCAGGGCCTTGTACACGGTGAACATCATTGCAAAAAAAAAAAAAAAAAAAAAAAAAAAAAAAGGTTAGAGTCTTTGAAGAGCATTGCCAGCTTTGTAGCACCGTTCGGATGTTTTTGAAAACCATATATGTTTGACTGAATCGTTGTGAAAAAAATTGACACGGAACTATTAGGAAACCGTCAATGATTGTGCCAGCACGAAGTCACAAGTCATCGTGACCGAGGGATTGAACTTAGTGGCCTTGTCCAGAATTATAGATTACGATTTCTCCCAGCTAAGACTTTCTCAGTAAAGTTGCAGTATCAACCAGAGGTTGGATCTGTGGGTGTTGAACAAAAAGAAATGAGCCCAGACATACTCAGATACGGTCGACCAGCCACTTAACACATAAAACACTGCCATGTTATGATTGTTATTTAGAGAAATCAGAGATAATAATACGGTATTCAGGACACAATTTTCCAGGAGCATTAATCTCTTTTCAAATAATGCTTGCTTACAGAGATGTTCAGTCTCTTAGATATGTTCAAAATGGCGACTGAAAAGCAATGACGTTTTCATAAGATGAACAGTACATTGTCCACACGCTAAGGTACGTAAGCATTGAAAATAATTGCATTATTTCCATAGACTCCTGGCAATCTGGGTATACTTATCTCAATTTGGGAACCCTTATATGGGGAAATTTTAATAAAATTAGACAAAACTAATGGCGCTAGCAATCGTCCACCAAGCAAATTGTAACCGAGCATTTACAGGCGAGCTGTGAAAGGATATTCTTTACCATAATTGTCAATCTTAAGGTTGACAATCAACGTGTCAGTAGCGACATTGATATAGGATGACAACAAAAAGACGTGCGCCACGTCATAGTCAGGCAATAAAGACTTTGAAAATGGCGTGGCATTTATTGGCAATGAAATTAAGAATAAACTTTGCGAAATATGTCCCACGCTGGTTTTAATGCCTGTCTTGCTTTTTTATGAGCTTTTATTAATTTCTTCTTATTATTTTACATTTCTTCTTTCTTTCTTTCTTTTTCTTCTTCTTTCTCTCTCTCTCTCTCTCTTTCTTTTTACCTTCTTCTTGTTCTTCTTTGTTTCTTCCTTATTTTCTCTTTGTTTCTCTTTAGTCCTCATTTTACGTTACACGTTTTTCTTTTCACCTTTCTTCTACTGTTTATTCTTTTTAGTCATCTTCCTTTTTTGTTTCACATTCTGACTTTCAGTTTTTTCTTCCTCTGTCGTTTTCTTTTATATCTTTCTTTCCTTCTTTCTTTCTTTCTTCACAATTTTCTTTCTTCTTTCTTCTCTTCACGTTTTCTTTCCTATTTCCTTTTATCTATATTTCCTTCCATCTTTTTATTTTCTTTTTTTCCCCATTACTTCTTTCTTTTTCTTCATTCTATCACTCATTTTCCCTTTCTTTTCTTTTTTTTCTTACACTTTCTTCTTTCTTTTTGTTTCTGACAATATTTATTCTTATCTTTATTGCTCGTCTTTTTTTACTTTCACTTTTCTTCTTCTTCTTCTTCTTCTTCTTCTTCTTCTTCTTCTTCTCGTCATCTTTTTTTAATTTGTTGCTCATCCTTTTTGTTTTTACTTCCCAGTTTCCGTCTTCCTATTTAATTTCCTCTTCTTTTATTCCTTCATTCCCTTTTTCTGATTCTCTTCTTTTTTTATATATATATATATATATATATATATATATATATATATATATATATATATATATATATATATATATAAAAGAAAGAACAGTAAGATATATAATCCGGTGTTCTTATTGATATGTTTTATTTTTATTTTTACAAAACAGTGCTAAATGTAAATTTACAGAGCATAAATATTATAAATTAACTGATTTAAAATATGGTTTTTCGCGAAACAGTAATAACCATGTTTCAAAGACTGAAGCTAAAAACTTCAAATTTAACTATATAATTAAATTAAAAGCATTAGTTCCGTTTCATTTTCAAGCGAATTTTGGAATAACTTATTTTTAAATTTACTAAGTTTTAAACGCACATATAAATTCATAATTTCCTGTTCCCAAGGGTACAGAGAAATCCAATCATTCAGACAGGGGCAGTTGCGTGTTCATTTTTATTAACTATTGTTGTATCAATTATGAGTTACATTCGAAAAAGAGGTTAAGTTTAGGGAGGGTAGGGGTGTAGTTTTCAACGAATTCTGACATCCGTTAAACGCATGTCGTCTGTTTTTTTTTTGTGGTGGGGACATTTTTTCGTACTTGTATACTTAAAGATTCCATCTAGGGGTGTTTGGGTTAGAATACGTTTTATTTAACTACAATTTTAAAATATTTTTACTCTTAATTACTAATACACTATATTTCTATTTAAAACAAGTAAATCTAATAGAATTACTTAAATTATTTAAAAGTTTTTCACATCAAATATAAGTATATATATTACCAACTCCCATTTTTTTTTAAATATTACTTAAGGAAAATTTTTTGACAATGACGGCAAAGAATAGCTTTTTCATTTCTCTGATTCAGTAAATTTTTACTTTTTATAAACTTTCTCATGTACGCACAAAGGACATGGGTCATTTAATGCCCTACATATTCTAGATTTTCTTATTAATATCCATTTTACTGTAGGTGTTTTATTGGATTCTTCCAGAAATATTTTGAAAGGGATGTCTGTTTTCTGTATTTATTCATTCTAAATGAAGTTTGATGTTGATTGAACCTCTTTTTGAACTCATGGCTTGTGCAACCTATATAGATTTTTATGTTTTCAGGATTCTCAATAGATGAGATATTGCATAGGTATACTAATGATTCCGTGCGACATTTATTTTGTAGAGGACAGTTATGAGGATTTCTACAGTTACATAATTTTTGTTTATCTTCATCTCTTTTTATTTTTATTTTTACATTGTCTAAATTTCTTTGGTTTTGGTCTAAGTGTTTATTGAAGATATTAGCATTATGTCTCTTAATAATTTTTTCTAAGTTTTCAGTTCAACTGTAAATTAATTTTAATGTATTTTTATTGAAAATAGTACTTAGTTTACTTTCTCTAGGAAAGTGCTTAACTGTTAATGCAAGTAATTTTCATGCTAATTTGTTCTTTACTATTTGGTTGTATGGGGGTGTATACCAAATTAATTTTCTTCTTCTGTTTTTTCTATGCTTTCCATTTTCCTTTTTTATATAAGTTAGTTTTGGGTTTTTGAAGCCAACATCTTTTAGAGCTTTATTATAGAAATTAATATGTTCATAGAAAATTTTCTCATTTGCTGAATTTGTACTTATTCTTTTTTCGATAGAGAAAGGTATATGCTTAATCATAGATGGAGGATAATTTGATTTAGGGTGTATATATAAAGAATTGGTATTGGTTTTTTTATAAGGTATGTATACATTTTTCATTAAATCTAATGTTATATAAAGGAAGTTAACTTTTTTTTTTAATCTAATGCTTACCGTAATTTTTAAGTTCAGAGTCGACGTTGCTTAACTTCGGTGATCCCAGCATCTTTAGCAATGAAGTTTCGAACAGTTTGACGGAAGGTCAGGCTAGTATGAAGATTGCATTGCGTCAGTTTATTAAGTATGGCTTACTTACCTTTTTTTTAATTTTAACTAAGCACGAACGTTTAATGAGAAATATGCAGCCGAATGTATATGTTTTAAATATTCTTTTTTAGTTTAATTCTTTTATTAAGCGGACGTTAACTTTTTAAATTTATTATTTGGGGGTTAACTTTTAAATTTATTTCCTGCGTCTTGGAGAAAATAAAGGAAAAATATTAATGTTGTTAAGTATTTTAGAACAGACACATTTTCAATATGATTCAAGGGAAATAATCAGTCTTCCCCGTCCGTGTTTTTTATGGCAAAGAAGATACAATTACAGGAAAAAAATGGCAGGTGTAAGTGAGTTTAGATTAAAGTAAGGAAGGTTTAGAAGGGAAACGACAATGGTGGTATTTTAATCAGATTACAACAGACATTTATGCGAATGGGAATACAGGGAAACGATTTTGCAGGGTCCAGACTGGAATACAAAATCTTTGAAGTTTATTTGAGAAATTGATGTTTATTGGGAAAAAATTCTAATTCCTGTTCAGAATATTTTTTTTTCGATTTGTATTTGTGTGCGTTTCTTTGATTGCGTAACGTGTTAAGCCTAACGCGCATGCATATATATGTACACGCGCCTCTTAACTCATACGCCTATATACGCCTGCTTGTTATAGATTTAGCAATTGGTTCATTTTCACATTCGGAATATTTCGTGTATTTCTCTCCATTCTTTTTTTTTTTTTAAATACTTTCTCGCTTTGATCATTTGCATTTGTAGGCGTCTTGTGTTCGCATCTCTACGCATTGACGTGTGTAAATATCACTTTCATTTTCGAGAGCGTATACACGATTTTTTTTTTGGCTTATCTGCGCAGAATTTTATGTGTGCATGAGGGTGTAACGTATTTATGCGAATTTTATGCTCGTGTCAGTAATTTATGTTTGTTGGAAATTCTAAGCAAAAGTCTTTTCATTATTCCGCGCATTTCTGCAAGTATCCATCGTTTTCTTTTTTTTTCCTTTTATTTTTTTTAATCAAGGTTTTTCTTCTCATATTAGTTTTAGAAGAATTCAGAACAAAGAAACAAATTCAGGCTGAATAAAAATGAATGAAACTCGTATCTCATACTACGTGAGCGTGCTACGTCAAGTAGCAACACTCATATAATCGAAAACACAAGTTAGCGGCCTTATTCTGATTTTTTTTTAATTTGCGATGCATTTTGTTGACTACTAGTAATATTACGCTGCGTCATGAATAATTTGGTAATCAACTGTATTCTTTAGAAAATAGATTAAAATTAAATTTAATTCAATTATATATTCACCATTAATTCCAGTGATTTTTACTACTTATCAGGAAGCCCTTCGGTTCCTTTTGGCTGGGATTTGAAAAATCGGGGAACCTAGTTTGAATTATAATCAAGTTCAGTACAGGCACTTATCTGCCACTATCCTTGGAGTGGGTATAAATCCAATTCCTCTCCTGGCTATGGGTTAAATAGCATGAATTGTATGTAGAAAAATCATTGTCATTCTCAAAAAAATTGTAAATGCAAAATAAAAAATTATTCCTATCTTCCAAAAATATGTTTCAGTTTTAAATCTCTATCTATAAAAGGCAGGATGTGTGTGTGTGTGTGTGTGTGTGTGTGTGTGTGTGTGTGTGTGTGTGTGTGTAACGAATGCACGGCCGCAATTTTCGATGGATTTGCACCAAAATTTACATGCAAATGCTCCAAGTTAGCGGGGAGGCCAAGACCGACTTTGCATTTCCCAACTCCCATCGATAGTGGAAATAATCGAATCTTTCATGCTTTTACGGCAGTTTTCATGTAGTGTGTGGCTATTTTGTACTGGCCAGAGTGAAAGCCTATAGCTGGCTGCCACGAATAGGCAGGAAGATTCTATTGGCCAGCGTGAGAGCCAACAGCTGACTGACACGAATGTTAACTAGCATGCTCGCATGCAACAAAAAAAATCGATAGACCCATTCGTGACAAGTGGGAAAAATTTAAATCTGCACTTTACTCCAATTGGTTCATTCGCTTGCTTAGACTCAACGTTGATTCTGACTCCGCAGAACTGAGTTGGGTGTGAAAAAGTATTTGTTGTTAACATTATTTTTTCATTCGGTTCTTCAAGTTACGAGTTCTTTTTTAAAGTTGATCGTTTTGTGTTCATTTTGTTTAGTTCTTTTTTCGCAACAGATTTAATGTTTAGTATAGAGCTTAGAAAAAATTCGCATTGTGAGATAGGCAAGAAGTAAGGCATGTAGCAACATCAGCACGGCAAAGGGCACTCTTTTAAAGGCAAGGAAGGGCAAAAATATTTTAAGTCAAGTGATAGCGATTGCTGTATGAGTCGTACAATTTTTGAATCAAGCACGGGCAACGCCGGGCCATGCTGCTAGTGAGCTATAAAGAGTTGATAAATCGTAAAAAAGCAATCAAGGAAACAACTCCATACATTCTGAGCAAAATTCCGCAAGTTTTGAGGTAAAATCAAATTGATAGCCGAAGGTCAGGTGAGTAAGGCAGAGCATGTAGTTGATTAGACCAACAAAATTCCTGAATTTTTCTTTTGTTAATCTTGTTGCATACGGCTGTGTGTCTTCACGTAAGAGAACACGCTTCTTTCTTTAATCCACTCTGCAGGCTGTCAGTGACGTGCCAAAAAAGAAAAAAAAGAAAGTCTGTTTTGAAATCTAAGTTTATAGGCTGAGTCAAAAATAATTTCCGTTTTTGTCCTACGGC